ACCTCTGCAAATCATCTAGTCCAACCATTCTGCTTTGGGCAGGCTCAGCTACAGAAGGTTGTCACTGTCCAGCTGGGTTTTCAGTGTCTCCAAGGATGGACATTCCACAACTTTATCAGGCAACCTGTTCCAGTGTTTTTGTAGATTTGAGAGAAAATCCCAGCAAGAAACATAGTTTCTTTACTTTGCCAGAGAAGACCAAATGTTGGGCCCTGGCTAGCAGGGGAGCTGTAACTTGAGCAATGGTTAAAGGAATGCTTAAGCAATTAAAAACAAGACACACAAAATAGGTCGTGCTGACCTTGTTTCTATCTTAATGCATTCCTGTGTCTTCAATCCAACACCTTATAATGGTCTTGTTCTCTCCTGCTGCCAGGGTTTTTAGGTTTAGTTTTAGTTTTACTGCCTTATAGATAAGATAAGTCATCTGGCTAACAAGCTGGGAATAGTGCTGTTGTCTAGGTTCTCATGGACCCTCTGTAACTCTTGTTATCAGTTTCCCAGGATGTGAGAGCGGGATGCAGCTTAAACTTGTAACCTATCATAAGTAAGAACTGCAGCATTGACAGGTTGAGCAACCAATCCAAAGTTGTGTGATCAGTGCGTAGCTGCATGGACGGGAGACATTTTACTGTAAATACTGTTAGGTGCCCTAAATAAAGTTGGCTATCAGAGCATCATATTGGTGTGTGCTGTAGTCCGTCCCACACAAGGACCCCAACAACCAAAGGTTGAACAGACTTTGTATTTCAAGTCTTTCCTCCACCAGGAGGGGGAAGTGATGCTGCAGTGACCTCCTGCAGAAGCAGACAGCATTTACTTACGCATTTACGGCAGAGGGAGGGAAGTGATGCTGCAGCGACCTCCTGCAGAAGCAGACAACATTTACTTACGCATTTACGGCAGAGGGGAGTCAATGCTTACACCTGTTCTCTGCTGCCTTCACATATATCCCTGCTCATATTTAAAAAAAAAAGTCAAAGTAGCAAGTATCCCTGTTAATCCCCAGGGTAAATAGCTCAACAAAGCAAATAAAATGTCTGTTTGAATATATAAGAGTACAGGTCAAGTGCTGCCCTTTCCTTTATGATTAAGTGTAAAACTTATATTGTAATATCTGTAAACATATTGTGCAACAGTGTGGGATGTTTTCTTGACTTCTCTCCCTGAAAGCACTACAATGTGTTAATGTAAATATAAATACAAATCTATGACTAAAGGTATGCAAAAAAACCACTACCTTACTAGCTATGAAGAGAGTGAGAGAGAGCTGTATTCCAACCCAAGAAATAGCACTGTATCAGCGCTGTCATTCCTTGTCTGGAAAGAAATACAAAGATAAATCTTTCTTAAAACCAAAACAAAACCACCTTTGAAACACTTCTACTATTACCACAAACGCATGCTCAGTTCCTGTTTCTGTTAGATGATGAGCACTTATGTTGAATGCAGCAGAGCACTTCTCATGAAGCACTCAGCACATGCCAGGCTAAAAACTCTCATAAAACATCTGTTTGTTTTGTAGACAGAATAATGAAGTTAGATCAAATGAGAACACCACAGCAATGTGATGGGAGAACATATTGAATCACGCCACAATTACACCATTGTGCATATCACCATTTATAAACCTAATTAACAGAAAAACTCTTCACTTTACATAACTTTAAATATGAAACACTAGTTTCACATAAAAATCTAATTTGGATACAAAGAGTCGTAGGAAAAAGTCTTTCAAATGTGGCATCTTTGTTAAAACAAAAACACCATAAAGGGGTAACCTTCACTATTTGCCTGAAAAAAAGGAAGATAAGTAGGACCATGAAACACCTGAAAGGTCTAAGCATTCTTTGATCAAAAATACAGAATGCACTGGTCATGGTCTACCAACAGTGACCATCAAGAACACAGAGAACTAAGTATGCTGTATATATATTGCCTGTATATTTTCCTAATGTTTAAAAAAACTCTTTAGAAGTACACAGCAATAGGCTGTACCAATTACATATTAGAGGTTTCTTCTCCCTTGAGATTAAATTGATTATTAAACTGCCCATTATAAATAAAAATGAATTGTTTTTAGACCCTACACTTTCCTAGCTGTTCTATGAAAAACACAGGCAATAGTAAAACAGGAGTCTACAGTCAGCAGTAACTCAAATCTCATGTACAAATTTTGTAATTTATCTTACAAATTAAGAAGTTCCAACCCTTTTAAATTCATCATAAACTGCGAGATTTTCTGAATTTAGCATACAACTGGTAGAAGAATATCTAAGCAGAAACAAATGTCGTATCAATCACATCAGTACACTGTGTGCTGGTGGTTATGATCACCCTTCAGTCATGAAGGTGTCATGGAATATTACACAGACGAATCCTTCAGGGGAACAAATCGTCATAATTTGCAAATTAAAAGTAACAAAAATAAATACAGTTCAAAGTGATTTCCTGCAATCCAAAGCAAAACAGTTACTCCAATAAAAAGAAATATGTATGTTTTCTTACCCTTGCAAATAGCCTCCCTAAGGCAGACAGATGCCTTTCATAATACAGGTCACATTGTGTGAGGTGAAACCAATTAAGGTGAATGTGGCAGCAGATTAACTGGACTTGCACCCACTCACTACTACCTTGGTTAAGGGGGATTTACTGAATTAAGAGAGCAGAGAAGTTGGTTTAATATGCATAAGGGTAGGATCATGTGGGAAAATAGATATTGAATAAAAAGAAAAACTGCCTATCTCAAAAATCCCAGTTACTTCTTGATATTAGAAACTATTATCACATTGAAGAGCAGAGGCTTACTTCTACAACACAGGAAAAGTTGTTTAATCATAAGAATTTATTTTTTTTACTGTGAAGATGATCAAATACTGGAATTGATTACTCAGAGAGAATTTTGGAGGATATTCCATCCTTGTGGATATTTAAAACCTGGTTGGGCATGGTCTTATGTAACCTGATTTGGCTGATCGTGACCTGAGCAGAGGGCTGGAGTAGGTTATCTCCAGAGGTCTCTGACAACTTCAGCAGTGCTGTGATCCTGTGATTGTTATGGGTAGAAAAATGCTACCTTGAACAGCTGAGAAAGCCAGGGTTTTTCTTTCATTTCTAAGTTTAATATAACACATTATTAATGATTGAGCCTAGGATGCACATCAAAACTGACAAACAGCACTACTGTCAACTCCCAGAACAGGAGGTCTGGTAACCTATGCAAATATTCACCTCTGTCAGACACAGTAGTAGTGCTGTCCTGAGGAACAGGAATTTGGGATTCATTAATAGGAAAAGACAAAGTGTTTAAGACTGTTCTCGGCTTATGCCTCCCAATGCAAGACTGAGAAAATGAAATATTTGAGCCTATAAAACACCCAGAAAATTGGTATACCAGTATATAAGGTAGACTAGCCCAGTACAGGGACATTCAACATATCCCATAGGACAGAAAGTTAACCTCAAAGAAATGTTTCTTTTCCTTTGTTCTTTTTCTTCCTCTTACTGAGTAAACTACAATTTCAAAACCAGATACTTTTTCATTAGTGTCCAGAATGCTTTGATCTACCCTTGTTATCACACAGAGTCAGTGACAAAAATCATGACAGGTATTGATAAAATACAACAGTCTCGAAAGAGGAAGATTTCCTGCAAAATGTACAGCTTATCTTTTTATGCTAAATTTTAATGCTCACCAAAAGAAAATAGATCACTTTGTGCTTTATCAACACAGACACAGAAGCACATCTACTGAAAATGCAGGTAATTATCACTGCAAACCTTACAATATACTGCCTACCTTTGTCATCATCACAAAATTTCCCATTTGCCAGCAACATGTTATGTTCCAGGTGTTCTTTAAAAATCACTAAAGAATCATTTAGACTCCTTCTAACTTTATATTCCTGCAGACAAGGATTCCCTTTTCATGAAAACTGCATAGGAAGGAAAATCTGTGAACTACAGACAACATTTGTATCAACCAAATGTTCTGGTATATTACCTAAAGCAAAAAAAGCTTCCACTTGTAAGTTAAATTCAAAATGACCTTGTGCTTTTTCAAAAAGGCTGGCAGCTGAGGTCATTGGAATAAATTGTGATAGACAGTGCTTCTCTCTGTATAGTTAGAAGGCATGTGTAGTACATGAATTACCACAAAGTAAGGAAAAATAAACCCAGACAAAATGTGGCAAAGAACATCATTCCATTTCCTTGTAAAATAATGGCAAATATAGTCTGCAATAACTGGGATGTCTAATGAAATAATTTAGGTTGTCAGCAACTTTATTTCACCATCAAGTATGTTCTACACTTTTCAAATCTACATTCATAAATTAATCCTGTTCTTTATTGGTCTCTACTATTAATGGCATAAGCATCTGTAACTACATTTCCCCAGCAGGCAGACCCCAGCTGCATGGAGTATTATGTAGTGTTGTTTATAAACACATATAGTAGTTGTGTTAAAGCTCACTAAATTACTGAATCAAAAACAATGAAATGGAAAAAAAGCTCAAACTGTTAGTGAGTGTTTTAATTGAGACCTAAATACATAAATTTAAAGCAAACCTCTCACTATTCACTTTTGTAAGGAAATTTTTAACAGTAATTTCAGAGGCTGGTTTTCAAAAAGGTATTTTTTCAATTAATTCTCTTGCAAACACATAAACAACCACTGTCAAAGGACTTTAATCTGTCAGTAGGACTGTACAAGTCCTCAACTTGTTTCTGTAATAGCAGCTTTTCACCAGAATATTTTGATCGACAGATTCTTATTTTTAACATCTGCCTCTTTTGGGAGCAGCTTAATGTTAAGATAAAAAATACACCCAGGGTTTCAGAGCAGGTGGAAAAACCCACAGTTCTGATTAAATGAGAACTGCTTCTAATCCTGTTTTTCACTGTGCCTTAAAGTATCCTATATAAAGAATAAAACACGTCTTGTCAGTTCTGAAACATTTGAAGAAGAGAGGGGTAAAAAAAGAGCACATGGAACTTACCATTAAAGTTTACTGCCCGGATATAGCTAAGTAGTTCTTTACCGTCAGTTGTGCTCATCCTCGGGCATAGACCAATATATCCAGGACAGAGATCTTTATGCATGTTATGCAGTGCATAGGCCATGGAATATACTGCATCAATGACAAACTGAACTTTTCCTTCTTGTTCATAAGCTGAATCTCTTGCAATTCTTTCTAAGCCTAAAGAAGAAAGAGAAAGAGTTTACTTTCATTTGTGTGTGCACGTGTGTACCTGCACAAGCACTAGCATGAAAAAATTCACTGGAGAACATAAATAATTACAGTTGGATTGACAGGTAATGTCAGGATTCATCTATCCGTCACCTAAATAAACAAGACAAGGAAAAAATATGGCCATCTGGTTTTGCCTCTAGTCGGTGCACACTGTGCCAGGTATATAAACAGTATATTGAGTTCCAGGCTAGGAAAGAGGACAGAACATTTCATTACAAAAAAAAGAAATAGACTTACATGTATCTCTACAATCCAGCAGAAAAACTCTTTTTCCACCTTACTGAATTTCATTCAACAGTTGTCTATTGTTATTTATAGAACACTTCCAGAGCAGCCAGCCATTCTGTTTAGATAAATTTAAACCTATCTTGATTTTTATCCTTGTCTATTGTTTGATAAACATTATTTAAACATCTCAGGGAAAAAAGCTGAATGCTTGCCAAGTGATGTGACCATCTGTCTCCATATTGAAAAGTGCTTGTTCTGAGACATTTTCCTGTATTTACTAGTGAATTATGCTTCACATTGAGAACCATGTACTGTCTGCTATTTCCTACAGTGACATTTATCCTTCAGAGGGAATACAGAGCAAATCAATACATTACATAATTTTTATTCTTCAAGAATTTCCCAAATTAATCATCTATGTCCAAGTTGAAACAACCTTTAACATTAATAGGTGATAGTACTAAGTGGAAAAGTTACTAAATAAGGTTCAGGAAAAATAATGTTTTAAGTAGGAAATCAACGTAAAATCACATGTCCTATAGAGGAATTTAGATGCTGATTTTAAAGGCTCAAAACCTAAATTTTCCAGGGAAAAAGGGATCTGCAAATCTTGATGTGAAAACTATCTTGCTGAAATCTAATGTCAAGTTCCTCTTGCCTCAGTGAACACAACAATAAATACCTAGGCTATCTACTAGGTTATCAATTCATTCATCTTGAAAAGCATCCAGTTGTATTATTTAAGATTATTTAGAAATAAACTAAAAATTTATGCTTTTGAAAAAAATTTTAACACTGTATCTTCTTTTTCATGTGTCTTTTTTTAATCTAAACACGTGCTTTTACCAGTTCAAGAAATCGATTTTGATGAATCCAAACTTTTAAAAGTACATTGTTTATGCCTGAAAATCTAATGCACAGATCTGTTTTAGACAAAGCCCATATGACATTGAAAAAAAGCCAGGGAGTATACTCAGATGCCTTTCCTCTGTTTTTCAGCTGCACTTCAGTGCCACCATCCTGCATAATAATGACAACATATGAACAACTCTGTAATCTGACAACCAGCAGTGGTTTGCGCTTTAAACACCCCTGAGCACTGGGAGGGATAGAGAGCCTTGAAAAATCATGATGTGCTTTTATTTCTCCTCAGGGATAGGTTAAAAAAATAAAATTGCTACCTCTTGAAAAGTTACACACCATTTAGAGACAAAGGCATAGAACTCATTTTTGTGATTTGTACAAGTAACTTTACAGACACTTTCCAAGACATGCTATCTAATGAATGGCAAACAATTAGGAAATAGTGCAACTCTCCTGCAAATAAATAAACAGGAAAATCTTTTCCTTGCACATGCTGAAAATTACATAATTAGTTGCAATGCATTGCCCAGGCATAAAAGAAGATACGAAGGATGGAAGACATGAAGCTTAATTAGCTCACAAATGTATCAACTTATTTCATTTGGGAACTACCTAGCAACAGTAAGTCATGGTAGAGCACATGGTCTCCACCTTCATTCTTCTCTGGAACAACACTTGAAGGACAGGGTTTAGAGACCTGCTGCAGGCACACAGCAGTCAGTAACCTGCATGTGTTTCCAGAGCTACCACATCCTCTAAACAGGATGGTCAAGGCAGGAGGAGTTTGAAGAAGATCTGCTTTAATTGCCAATATAAATATAATTCCCCTCACATATCAAATGGATGGATGTGTATGTGGAAGGGTGGGGTGTCGGTGAAAGACTGAGCGGAATAATTTTCTATGTCATTAAACACTAAAAGTTTCAAACACCTTATCAAGTACAGTGTCCTAAGTGTTACAGATTTTAAAAGGGTGAAAAAAGTATTATTCTCCCCTATGTTATACTGTAGTTTAAACACACACAGAATTTGCAGACATTTATTCCATGACATAACACTGTACCTTTATTCTTCACAGATACGCGACCATAAACTTGTTTATCATATAAATTACAGAAGAAAAAACAATTTATTGGGACTTAATGTGTTTCTATACATACAAAGAGATGATGAACCTCACAGAATTCTCAGTTTTAATCCTGTCAAACCCAGAAGGCAACAGACATGAGGAGTCTCTGTGCTTTGCATAACTGAAAAACACAGCAAATTGGATTATGTGTTCTTTCTTCTTAGAGTTTTTCTTCATCTTCTCTTTCTAGAATTCTCAAACACTTAAACTAGCAATTTATAAAGATGACAAGAACTCATCACCTTAAATTACATTGCACTGCCCTAAATAAATGTTAATATATAGCAATAAAATGATGCATTATTGTCTAAGCCATAAATATGGTCAATTCCTACAGATATAATATTACACAACTGGAAGACATGACTATAATTTTTCTTCAGACTTGTATATTGAGTAATAACAATTTCATTTATAGCTTGACTCAGCTCTACAAGGCGTGTTTCTACACACACTGGTGACTTGAAAGAACATAACAATTTGTATCTCATAAAATAAATGTTTTAATGCTTTCTTAATGATCACTTCAATTTCTCATCCTACAGTTTTTCCTCTGGAAGAATTACTTAGGCTGCGTCTTTATGAAAAAGAATTGAGAAGATGTTCCTAACTCTTGAACCTGCACTTGTCAGACCCATAGTCTGACAGCGTGTCAACTGAAACAAGAACTGGGCTCACACTACCTCTCCCAGTTCTGATCTCCAGACAATAGAAATCCAGCGAAACGTGCATCGTGTTTTCCAGCAGGTCTTCCAACCCAGTTGTTGAGAAGTGCAAACTTGACAGCAGCAAGATGTCAAGACTTTCCCCAATCAATGGAGAAAATACATAAATGCATGCACTAATGTTAGTATCTTGGGCTAAAGAGTATCTAGGAGAGCAGTAACACTAGCCCAGGAAAAGTGTCAGCTGTTCCTGGACCCATCCATTTGAAATCTTTTTTGGGAACCCTAAAGTGAGCCACAGGAATGGTCCTATAAGAGCCTGTGGAGGTAAAAGTCTTGCGACAGGTACTCTTGCACTTCTTGAGCCAAGAGTGACAAGCTGGACTTTTGCTGGAGTTATTGAGGTATATCCATATCTTCTCACCATTTCTCCTTTAAATCCTGTTGTTCCTATGCTGCAGGAATAATTGTGTATCCTCCTCAGGCTGCTGTAACTCAGCTATGACAGGGCAAGATGAGGAGCATAACAGTAGGAAGATGAGACATAGAACAGGTATATGGCTGGGGCTGCCAGTCTGAGGGGGAAGAAGGTAACATTTTCAATTCCATAGGTTTAAACTAGGAATCAAGAGATTTTAGGGAACATAATCAAGAAAAATTAGGCCTTTAAAACAATGAGTTAAAATGTATCTTCATTAAAAGTTTAACAGCACCCAGTAAGTAAATAAGGATTAATGTAATGTAGCCAAGATAATGAATTCACACATGGATGATGGTATCACCTGAGAGACAGAAACTTAAGTTGCTGATTCCACCAGCAGAGGACTAATCTGCTAGGTGATAGATGTTGTGTAATTCATCTAAGTTTTAGATACCCTTAAAGTATAAGTAGAAATAACTTCTGCACACATGTAAGTCCATGACAACAGGAAAACTTCAGAACAAAGTTCCTAGACATTATTCTCTCAAGAATATAAAAAAGTTCTATACAGGCAAATGGATATGCCTGGTTTTAAACTTGTGATATAGAGGGAAAAAAACCACATGTTTATATAACTGCCCTGTTTCTGAAAATCACCAGTTCTATTAACATTTCAGAGCAATCCCATTCCTTCTGTCTCACGAATCTTTCTGTTTCCATTTAGCATCACTGAAAGCAACTTACGTAAAAATGCAACCTACATTACCTCTCATGATTATTTTTATATTTTTTAGATTCCATCCCCTATATCTAGTTAAAATCTGAATTTATGTTACTTGAAGACAAAAGGTGGAAGTCGAGGACATTGTGTACAACAGCTGGTTAGAGCTTCAGAGTGGAACAATGTTGAAAGGATGCTTTAAATAAGGGGAGGACAAGTAATGCAGCAGGAGGGAGAAAAAAATTACAATAAAAATTATTATGAAAATGGTATCAGGCAAAATGGTTATTCATAAGAAGCTTTTATTGTATTTGTTTTCCTTTACCTGCCTTTGTTATATATGCTTGTGCATGTATATTGCTGTTCAAAGACAGCTCAAAGGCAGTTGGTACATCTCTGCAACTGTTGGAGTTTTTTTCCAAACTTCTGTTTTGACAAGTCTGGATTTTGGATATCTAGTGATATCAGTTCATGGTTACAATTCACATTTTTCACTCACTGCTAAATTATTTATCCCCATTACTTGGCTCACAAAACAATTTTACTTAAGCCACACTTGGAAGCAAATGAAATAAAAGATAAATATTATTGTGGTGCAATTGATCTTTTGTGTGGGCAAATTGCTATCACAACTAACTCACAGCAATTTGTAAGTGGTCTCCCACTACTCTTCAGCTCAGACATGATTGTCCTCTATTTGCCAGAATTGGTTAGAACTTCCCATCTTTGCAGCAACAGTTTTTTCCTCCGAAAGCTGGCATCTCTAACTGTAAGTCATTTCAGCAGGCT